AAAAAAAGATGAATCTCTGCACTAGGAAGCAGCTCAGGAACATTAAAAGCGCTGCATAATTTCTTTAATGTGATCCAGCCTGATTTTTTTCCTTCTAAATCCTGGACCCAAATCATGTTCCATCTATAGTACCTGCCCAGATATGTGTATAGATACAACAGCTTCATAGACTAACCATCCAAATCCATTATAGTTAGGATCATAGGCATTCTTAATTTTAATTGAATTTTAATCTTTAATATTTTAATTCTTTAAAATAATCATTTGTTTATTATTAGGCTGATCTCTTTTGAGTAATAAGGAATTTAAAGGAAGAAACATTCATTTCTGTAATAATCTGGGGCTTGATGTAGTCAACACAATTTCATCCATAAATAGTAATGTCTGAAAGACATTAGCATCTATAGGACCCTCTTGTATTTGGACATCACACAGGACATGCTCTGAGACAGTGGCAAACATTCTGACAAATGCGCATCTCCCTGAGTGTAGCTCTAGTGTGCTGAAAAAACTTTGAATACAGTCCTGGTACAAATTGGGTTTCAACTAAATAAAACAAAATAAGAGGACTTGGAATGCAGGGAAACTCTATTTTACAAATTTTTAAAAGTATCCAATTTTGATCTGATGTAATACAATTTCCAGTTTACATATGACAATGGGAAAGATAGTAGCATGCACGTAAGCTGTTATTGATAAGAAAGAGAAGAAAGAACAGATAGTGTCAAGAGATCAACTTTGCTGCAAAGTGTCAAGAGAAATAAAATTTTTTCCCAGCAGTTTAGAATTTTGCATATTATTGAAACCACAGATTATTTATAAACACACTATTTGGCATACATCTAATCCATTTATTAGCCCTGATATTTTTGTTTTAAAATATATAATGAATTTGTTGTATGTTGTCCAAGAAGAAGTCAATTTTTGGCAATTGGAAATTTTTCAGAAGATGGAATATTTTCCTTAAATTCATACATACTATCCAGAGGACCAGAGGCTTTCTAAACTTGATATTAATTCTAGCTATTACAACAATAATACTCAAATACCAAAACTACTGCTAATAGAGAATGTTGCCAGAGTTTAAAATATAAATTTATAGAAATACTACCTCAAAGTTGCAAAAACAAGTCATTGGGAAATGTTATTCCCCTCCATCCCCCTTTTTGAAATAAAAAAAGCTAACTTATTGCTTGAAAGTGCGAAGATTGAGAATGAGGAGGTTAAATTTGTAGAAATATTTCCATCTTCTGAACTACTAAACAATTATTGCTTAAAATCTCTTTTTTTTGTCATGAAATACTTCAGCAACTACAAGTGTAAGCACGATTAACATTATTAAATGGAAAACCTAATAGTCAGAATATACCATTTTCCTACTCTGTCAGCTGAGAGGTTACTATATATTGTAATTTCTGTCTTAATGAATATTCCAGAATGGGTTTCCTGGATAAGCAAAATTTCTACCACTCAGCTCCTTAAGAACTAATTTTTTTTAAAAAAAATTGCAACCTCATTGCTATTCCTCATGTAGGATGCTTCTATTTCTTGATTTTGCATTTTCGCTAACCTTACCCCATGCCTGGAATTCTCTCCTTCCTTATCTCCACCTATTGGCTTGTCTGACTTCCAAAGTCTCAGCTAAAATTTTACCTTTTGCAAGAATCCTTTCCCAATTCCCTTTAATGATAATGCCTCCCCCATGAGACCATCTCTAATTTATCCTTTCTATAGCTTGTTTTTCCATAGTTGCCTCCTGGTTGTCTCCCCAGTTATACTGTGATCTTCTTGAGAGTAGAGAAGACTTTTTTTCTTGCATTTCTTTGTATTCCTAACATTTAGCACAGTGCTTGGTGCATCGTTGGTATGTAATAAACATTTGTTTACTTGATTTAATTTGACTTGTTGAACTGTTGATATATTTGAACAATTTTTGATGGAAATCTTTCTGCATATATGAGTGAGCATTATACTATGTGGATATGCATTATACCATTCTTTGACTTAAGTAAGGAACATACATAATTTTACCTATAGCTATAATTGAAACACTCTCATAGGATATAGAGTTGGAAGGCACTTTAGAGATTATCTGATCCAATAATCTCATTTTACAGATGAGGAAACTTAATCATGAAGAGGTGAGGTGACTTAGCCAAGGTCACACAAGTGGTATCAGAGTAGAGTTTTGAATGTAGGGTCTGACTCCAAATCTAATGCTCTTTGGTACTAATTTAATGTAATAGCATAAGCCATTACTGTTCTGTATTCAGAATGGAGTCCATTCTGAATAACCTAATTAAATTTTATTGTATTATAATAGAGTGAATCCTTCCTTCAGTAGCTACTGAGCTACATAGAGCTGCTTGTCTCTACATAGAATGCTCCCAGTGTATTCTACTGTCTGGCTAATGGTCTCTTCTTTTTCTTCCCTTGTGGCTGTCCCTATTCTCTGCTATCATTTCTCTCCACCTTGCCAAGGTCAGCTTCTAAGCATTCCAGCTACTCCTTCTTATCATGTTGCTAACTATTCTTTTGTTTCTTCCATTTGCTGTCTTCCCCTCCTTATCCCTCCACCCCACCCCCATAACTCTGTTCTTCTGCTGACTCAAGAAAAGTAGCTTTGGTGCTTACAGCTCTTGGCTTTGACATTTATCATGAGACAGTGAGAAAACTCCTCAGGGTCAGTGAGTAGGCCAATTACCATTGTATCTTTTTTAATCTGTGTATTTCAATTTTATTTGTTGAAATGTTGCACTAAGAAATATTTGTTGAGTGGTTACCTTCAGTGTTTGGCTGGTTTTTTGTTGTTTTTTTTTTAACTTCTAGGCTGTATGTGTTCCAGTGGGTTAAGGTGCCAGCTATATCTGATAGCCAGATAACTGCAGTGTTACTGTAGTTATATTACTCTTCTGGATTTCAGGTCTCTCCTAAATACTGGCTGTATACAATGTAATTTAGTTCTTCATTCCATCAGGGCACAAAGGCCCTTTTTTGAATCCATGGTAACACACTGCTTCCTAGCTCCCACTGTGACTTACTGTATCAGAAACAGTGGAAAATGGGTGTAAGGTACTGCTTCTTTCTTATGTGGGCATTTTATTTGCTGAAGTGACACATTTTGTGTGAAACAGGAAAACAGCTCGAGGAGAAACACAAACAGTTCTAAGGATCTGAGAAAAAAATTGCTCCTCAAATGAAAAAGTACCAAGAGGATCCAAGTGAAAGCAGCTCAGAAGCCAAAATAGTGACATGTTAAAGATGGCCATACTGCATTTTGTCCATTAGCTCATTTGAATATGTTTTCAATACTTTGGAGTTCATTTCTGGGATCCTTTGAATCAAAGAATTATTTTGGGACTATGGGACTATTGTTATATGGATGATTTGTGTTGTATGTGACCGAAATATTGATTTTTCATTTCTTAACTCAGAAAGGTCTGCTGTTTGAGAGTTGATTGGAGGAAAAGAGAATCGTCTGCTGTCAGTGGAGAGCTGCCTGGGGAAGGGGCTGCCTTGCTCTCTAGAGTCATCTACAGAAAGAGGGGAAATCCTCAAAGACTTATCTATTTATCTCTACGTCCCTCTATGGCTCAAAAGGGGAAAACCCCTCAAAGCCTATAGAAAGGAAGAGGGCAATAGCTTTGCAGATGCTAGTATTAAAAGAGAACTGCTTTTTGCAGAAAGGATATAATGTTGCCATAGAGCCTAGACAAAAGAGCAGAGCTTGAAAGCTATGCACACCCAAGACTCAATGCTGCTGTTGGCTAGAAGAGCTTAATACTGTTTCATTGGCCCAAGAGTAGCAGAGAAACAGCTTTGTCCATCAGGAAGGAGACTGGATAAGATCCTAGGAGGAAGAAGTAACATATGTTTCAGACTATTCTCTAAAGAGACTACAGGCAGTCAGGTCTGGAGTCTAGAGTTATGAGTATGCCTGGGGATATGAGTTTCCACACTTATATACATCACTGATAAGGTTCTACAGATTTGTGCTTGGATTCCCTCATTCTGCTTTCCTGACACTGTGTGCATAGATGGAAAAATGTGACTTCGGTTTATAAGTAGACTATTAAGTGTTTGTTGTTTCTTCTTTTGCCTTCTATTCATTACATGTCATAATTATTCTTGCTTTTACCTTCTCATTTAGTATTTCATGTTTAAGAACAAATGGTGTCATTGTGACTGATTTGTGTCATGGAAAGCACAATGGTGGGGTCTCAGGAGCGAAAGTGCAAGTAGTAATTCTGTAGCTTTCCCTATACCAGGACCACCCCCAGCACTACTGAAGTGAGTTGTAGCAGCATGGTATGTCTGGGGCTAATCTCCCTAATGGAAAAACTCAATCAGCTTTGTCAACATGAATATAAGTTAGTATAAGCCAGATGGGAGAAAGAGAATAGGAGTATAAGTGATTTCGCATTATCCCATGCTAAATACTCTATACTTGCTTTTGGGTCATGCTGGGAACCAACACTGTATTTTCTTTTGTTTTTTCTTTTTGGTGAGGCAGTTGGGGTTAAGTGACTTGCCCAGGGTCACACAACTAGTAAATGTCAAGTGTTTGAGGCCACATTTGAACTCAGGTCCTCCTGACTCCAGGGCCTGAGCTCTATCCACTGTGCCACCTAGCTGTCCCTGGAAAACTTTCTCACCCTGACCTTTTGTTGGCTCTGGTATGCCAAAATTTGATGTTAGGCATTATTTTAAAGTCATCTGAACAAGAATGTTGAGAGAGTTCAGTTGGGTTCCTGCCTCTAACCTACCATTTTGCCCCCTCCCGCTATAAAAGTATACTTAAAAATTTTTTCAAATTATATTTTAAAAAACAAAGTACAGAAGCATTGAAATACTTTTTTACGTTGTATAGGTAAAGTTGTCAGTTGGCAATGCAATATGTGGCATAAATACAAAATAATCCCTGAACATTTCTTCCTAGAAACAGTAGACAAAGCATGTTTACTGGACTGAAGGGGAAAGAAAACAACCTGGGTCTTCTGTAATGCAAAAAGATTTTTAATCTGAAAATAATTCTGTACACAGCACAAAAACAGATCCTTTATCTCACTCATTATAGACAGAATGGCAATCTTTAGCAAGCATATGAAGGAAAAGAAGCCACACACAACTTCTGCTGTCCAAGTCTGACATATTCAACAATAACAAAAATCATCCCTACACCTTACAAATATGCTCTGTTTATTCAGACACTAAACGACAGTAATTTTCAGAATTTCACTGCTATTGCACAATGACAAGATTATCCAAAGTGGCACAATTAGTTACTTCTGAGAATGACTTTTATCATGTTTTTTAATAATGTCCATAAGATTATCACCAGTTACTACGGTGTTCTGTGCCTGGTTAACTCTTTGCTGTTCTTTTCTCTTCTGTTCATGGAGATAAGGGGAGTTTAGTAACTGAGGAGGAAGAATGGATCCTGTTGGTTTGACTCTCTTCACAATATCCAAAAAAAGCTTCTTTGTGTTGTTATTGATGAAAGTAATTGCAGTTCCACTGTGACCTAATCTTCCTGCTCTTCCAACCTGTAAATGAAATTCAAAGGATCATTTAAAATCTTAGCCTCTATTCAAGTGGAAAGAAAAGGGAAGACACATAATTTTAATAATCTTTACTAATATTAGCTTTCCTATCATCAGACCTTAAGAACAGAAATTACTTTTTAAAGAACTCAGGCTATAATCTTTAGCTAAATGAGGGATTATCTACCAGTTTTAGAATATTAGTCCCATCTGAAATGTGACACTAAAGCTATTTCATCAATGGCACCTGAAAACAATAAACTCTCATGGAATATCATGATGAATTCCCATACAAACAACTGAACTTATGGATTCAGTAAGAATTTCTCTGAGGGCTGGAAGGGAGTTGATTTCCTCATTCAAAGTGCCTAACACCAATGAAATCACAAGTTTGGTCTTCCTCCTTCCCCAAAAGTGGACCTTGAAAGACTACCCAGAGAAAGACCTGGGCAAACATGACTGATTTCTATTATAATTATTCAGAGATTCATTTTATAGTCCATTTCCAGAAATCTGTTAAAGTTTAGATTGGTTGTCTAAGTTTGGGTAGAGCCTTTTAAAATAATTTGAAATTAACTACAGTGCCACTGTACTTTGAAAAACAGTTGATGTTAATGCAAACATCAAATTTTCTCTAACTTAAGCTAAGCAAAATGAACCCAAACTATTTATTCTCAAGTGGGAAATAATTGCTACTTGCCTCAACCAATTCATCAACATTCTCGAAGCCAGGATGTCTGTCTGCCAGTATAACTAAACCTCCTCATCTACAAATGGGCATGTTTCCACATTTGGTCCATGATATATTCACACTGGTTGACAAACAACATCCTCTACTTACTTACTGCTCAGATCCTTCATCATGGCATGGAGAGGACCTCAGGGTTTTTAAGCTCTGAACTAGTCAAAAGCAAGCTCTGACAGGTCCTTAATGGATTAAGATTTCACGTTTAAGCCTGGAAATGGACAATGTGTCTGTCCCCCAAGGATCAGTCTAACTAGTTTCAAGGACTACTGAAGGACATTATTTTTGGTTCTAGTAGCAAACAGAACCATCTACCAAGGTATGAGGAAGCTGCAATCTACATCTGTCCAAAGAGTGGTCACACTAATGAAAATCAAGGGTTATTTTTTTTTTAAAGTACAATCCTGGGGCAGCTAGATGGCGCAGTGGATAGAGCACTGGCCCTGGAGTCAGGAGGACCTGAGTTCAAATCTGGCCTCAGACCAAACACTTGACATTTACTAGCTGTGTGACCCTGCACAAGTCACTTAACCTCACTGCCTAGCCCCCCAAAAAGAAAAAAAAAGTATAATCCTTAGATAGATTCACAATATTTATCAGTCTGACAGAAGTATTTTACCACACATTCCATATTTACTAATGTTACTACACCCAATATTTATAAGTGATAACATTTTAAAGAATTACACTAATGCACAAAATAATGCTAGAGAACTAAAAAGGTCCTTAGGCATCTTTTCTACCCCAGCCACCTCACATGAAGTGACATGTGGAAAGTCACAGAGCAAGTAACTGGAAGAATAACAACTAGAACACAGGACTCCCAATTTCTAGCCCAACACTTCCTACATAAAATATTCCTTCCCCTAAACATTTTTTTAAAATTAATTATAAACTAGTTTCTTTAAGATTAAACCCATTTGTTTCAGGCAGGCCTCATACTAATTTGGGTTGCTGACTGATACACGGTACTATCCCTCACTTATCCAAGTCAAACTTCCAGGACTCTTATCCATAACCCTCTGGAAAAACATCTACAAATCTGGAAATTAAAAAACACTTCACTCTGCTCAACGCACCCCTCCAAAGCAGCCAAAATAACTTGCAAAAACTTGGTAGAAGAGACTCTCATTGTCACACAATAATAACCGGCCCCATGTTCTAGCCCACAGCAAAATCTGAATGGCAGCAGCAGTGGGTTACAAGAGTCAGGCATACTGAGAGCAACCAGAAAAGGCAGCTGGCAATGAGGAAGGAGAAAAAGAAAATTAAGAAGCATACATAAAACTAGGTAGAATGGTTGGAGCCCTTTAGTGATGAGCTAAAAGTTGTGCATTCCTCAACAACACGGATGCATTACAACCCAGCACAATAATTGATGCTAATAAAGTCAATCCAGATTTGTCAGTACAATCTAGTGCGTAAGGCACTGGGGTAAGAGTCAAATGATTTGGGTTGTAGTCCCACTTTTGCTTGGGTAAGCCCTGTATAAGTCATTAACATTTCTGGACTTTAGTTTCCTATCTACAGAATGAACATATTGGATCAAATGATCTCTACTGATCTACACTTATACGTTCAGTGTACACAGATTAAAGCAGCAGGAAAATAGCAACTCCTTTTAGAAAGATTTCCCTCAAAATGGTAAAATTAAAAGAACGTTTCAGTGGCAAAGTGGGCAAGTTTTGGTTGTCCAGAAAATTCACTTTCGTGGACCACCTCAAAAAAAAAAAGATTTTATCATATAAATATACAGTCTTGATAACTATGTTTCCAATTCCCATAGGTACCTAAAAATAGATCCCAAGCAACTGGTGGGATAACCAGGCCAAACTCAGATGTTAAACTCCAGGGCTCCTATCCCTAGCTCTGGAAACCGAACTTGGAAGTTACTGCTCAGTCTGAGCGGTACACCTGTGCAGCTCTCATTTCTCAGGTGATTTCCAGAGTTGCACATCTGAAAACCAGATAAACCCTTCTCTCCAGCAGAGACACATGGCAGGGTGAGAATATTTGACAGTGGCTCATCCCAGCAAACCAGTACCAGGGAATAGGCTCTGAAAGCCATAAGCAGCTGCCAAATTGAACATATCTATAGCTGCAGAGTAGATGGCCTTGGCACACAGCCCAGACCCCTAAGTGTCCCATCCTCTATCTTAGCAGGTGAAGACAACAGGCAAAAAGAGTTATTCATAACTAATTTCATTCTAATTTCAGCACACACTGGGCAAGGAAGTGAGCAGAAGGCTTTTGTGAGAAGGGAAAAGTCCTTTTTATGTTAGAACTCAAGGTTGAGTATAAATGGATAAAGGCAAGACTTACACCAAACAGAAAGATTCTAAAGGGTTCTGCTTTGCTGGGCACAAATGTATTAATTTAAATGGTAATCTCTACTGGAGATTAGAGGGAAGACTTGTATCCATGGGCTCACAGAACCAATAGAGCAGCATATTTTAAAAGGGAGCCTAAAAATAATTCCCAAATGGAGGTTTGGGATACCACAGAAAACCTTTTTTACCTGATGTACGTATTCATCCATACTAGAAGGCATATCAAAATTGACCACCAATCTGACATTGAGCAAGTCTAGTCCTCGTCCCAGGACTCCAGTGCTTACTACAACTTCATAATCTCCTTGAAATAATCCCTGTCAAAAAAGTAATACACGTTTTGCGGCAGTAATTAAAATAGAAGCTTCTATATGAAGAATTACACAGTCTCTAGAATTCTACCTATATTTGAAGAATTAGCTCATATATCATCTCCTCCATGAAGCCTTCCATGATATTCCCCCACCAGAATTTGTTTCATAGTATTGCAGCAAGAGCTTAAAATGACCTGAGAGGTTTTCTAGCCTGTATAGATTGTTCTTACAGCTCTGAGATTCTATGATAACCCCCTCATTTTACAAAGCTGAGGACAAGAGAGATTAAATACCTTGCTCAATGTCATGCAAGTAGTAAGAATCAGTCAGAATTTGAATGTGGGTCCTTGGACTATAAATGCAGTGCTTTTCCTACTCTATCACAATGCTTCTTCCTTAGTTCCTCAGATTTCTTCCAGCATTTGTCTAAACCTTTCCAGGTACTTATTTGATTTAGTGCCACGTGGGCAGATAAGTGATGGAGAAGATAGAGTGCTAGGCTTAGAGTTGAAATCCTGCCTCTTGACAATTACTAGCTGTGTGAACCTGGACAAGTCACGTGACCCTGTTTGCCTCACTTTCCTCACCTGCAAAATGAACTAGAAATGGCAAACCATTCCAGTATCTTGGCCAAGAAAACGCCAAGTGGGGTCACAAACAGTAGGGCATGACTGAAATGACTGGACAACAAGAAAAGTTGTATGTATATATGTCTTATCTCCCCAAATTGACTGCAAACTTCTTGAGGGCAAGGGTCATACTGTTGATCACTTGGCACCAAGCCTAATACCTATATATTGTAAACTTCTTTGCTTCACAGTAAATAGGCTTACATGTTTCCACTGTTGGGGGGGAGGGAGGTAGAGATGAACCTCATTATGATTCAAAGCAAGAATAACATACAAAAGACAGGTAACTTAGAATTTGGTCCAGCCCCCTCATTTCTAAAACATAAGAACATGAAGATCAGAGAAAATGAAATGATTTGCTTCCATATTATAAGGATGTATTATCTCATGATGGTCATGGGGGCATAATTTGACTCAAAGTATAACCAAGTCTATGATGAGTAAAGAGCTTAATTAAAGGATTTTCACATATGTGACTCAAGGATCTTTGCAATGATTTGCTAATGTTATCTTTGGTAACACTTTGAACAAAGAGTTGGGAAAAAGTCAGGAGATTCCCACACAGTGTTATTCTAAAAGAAAGGAGCTATCCTTTCAAATATATATGCTCTTCATGGGTAAGACTTACCTATAGTCCTTCAAATACTATGTCTATTTCAGTAACTAACCAATCCAAACCCATCTTCCTTTCTAGGAAAGCAACATTTTGGGGGTGAGGAACAGAAGTTGACGGTGGAAAGTGGAAAGATTAGAAAGTGATAGAACCAGTAGAATTTAAATTCCTAGATGGAGGACTCTTTCATTTTTGTCTTAGTCACTTTAGTACCCAGCACAATGCCATGCATTTAATAAATGTTTGTTGAATTAAATATAGATTACAATGAGAAAGAGAGAGAGAGAGAGAGAGAGAGAGAGAGAGAGAGAGAGAAAGAGAGAGAGAGAGAGAGAAAGAGATCAAATCAGTACAAACCGACTAGTTCTTTTTAATCCATTTCAACTGATCTATGTACTAGCGGTTTTATAGCTGTAAACCTAAGACACTGTCATTTTTTTTTGCAACTTTTCCATGTATTCCCAAATATAAAGTGCTACACCTGAATGCTAGCTCTAAGTACAAATAAAACTAGAGATTCTAAGCAGTCATGGGGACCACAGGTAACACTGTGTGTGGCAGTCAGGATTAAAAGAATACTGACAACTTAGACCAGGGGTTGGCAAACTATGGGAACTGGGATTTATTTGAATAAACACACAATTCTAAATTTTTTTAAAAATCTGTTCTTTCAAGTAACTTAAAAATCCCCATAATCTCCAGTAATCTTGCTAATACTATTAACTAATTTAGTGAAACTTCTGCCCAAATAATGACAATTTCAGAATGAATGGAATTTAAACTTACAAGGATTTGACTTCTACTTCAAAGATGAAAATAAACTTCATTTAAAGTCTTAGGGTAACAGTAAGACATGTAAGAACTGGGTAGTAACACATAAGTGAAAATGGGAAACTGTGTTTGGTTTTGTTTGGAAGTAACATACATAACAGGAGAGTCAAACCTGCAATATCCTTGTTCTTTCTACTTGTGTCTTATCTGAATGCATAGATATGCTTTGCAACCCAGTGATTTTATGAATTGCATCACTCAAAAGGTCTGCTCCTAGTTTACAGTCCACGAACACTAGCACTGGAGGCTTAAAGAGTTTCTCATCCTGGAAAAAAAAAAGTCATTTGAAAAAACTATTTTAGGTAATTCATATTACACAGCCTATGGCAGATAATGCTTCTACACTACATTTAGCAAACTGGCTAAACAGCTATTAAAACTGATATGAGATAAAAAGTGGTTTGTTCCATCTTGCTTAAAATATTCTCCCAAGTGTCCACAACCCAATTTTTTTCCTCTTCTCAGAAGACAGAACTAGGGAAAGACCCATATACTCCTTACTCCCTTAAGGTTAATAGAACATTAAAATTTTATAAGACACTTCTAAAGGACTTATGATGAAAAATGCTAACTACCTCCAGAGAAAAAATTGATGAAGTCTGAATGCAGATTGAAGCATGCTTTTTTTAAAAATTTCTTCATTTTTCTTGACTTTTTTTGGTCTATGTTCTCTTTTACAACATGACTAACCAAGGAAATATGTTTTGCATGACTGTACATGTATAATCTATATCAAAGTGTTTGTCTTCTCAAGGCAAGGAAGGAAGGGAGGGAATCCAGAACTCAAAAATTATAAAAAATGAATGTTAAAAATAGGTTTTTATATGTAATAGAGAAAAAAATTAAGACATTTTTTAAAAAAGAATATTAAAATATTCATTTTTAATTTAAATCCTAAAAATAAATTTTCTCCTTTTTAACTCCAGATGAGTGAGGTTAAATATACTTGGGAGGTTATTTTAGAGAAGACACTCCTTTCATTAGGGTAAACCTCTTTCTTGAGGGTCCCATTCATTAAAAAAAAGCCAAACTTTATCATTAGTCATTAAGAAAAAAATGCAAAAATCTTCTCTCTCTCTCTCTCTCTCTCTCTCTCTCTCTCTCTCTCTCTCTCTCTCTCTCTCTCTCTCTCTCTCCCTACCCTGCACTTTTATACCCCAGCATCAATGTATTGAAAACAAATCATAAGCCATTAGGGACAATGAGCACACTTTAAACACTTCCTGCAGAGAGATAAGTATCACATATAAATAAAGTACTCTAGTTATTTAGAACTTTAAAAAATTAGCCAGTGTCCACATACATGCAAACAGATTACATGGCACAGAGGACAGAGTGCTGACCTTAGAGTCAGAAACACATGACTTGGAATCCTTCCTTATACACTCACTAGCACCTGGGACCGAGGGCAAATAACTTAACCAGCCTCAGCCTCAATTTCTTCACCAGTAAAATGAGGGATTTGACTCAGTGGCCTGTAAGGTCCTTCTAAGTTCTCTAAGGTCCCAGCTCTAAATCTATGATCCAATGATCTTAAGTGTAAAGATTTTTCTACATGCAAATTCTAGAAAATTAAGGGGGAAAGAATTTAAATTTTAAATTTCAACTCTAAAAATGTAATTTTCTTATGACTTTCAGAAAAAGGTAGGAAAAAAGTAGAGGTTCAATCAAATGTGTCAAATTTTCATACCAATTCCACCTAAAATCATTACTGTAAAAACTGGGAGACAAAAATGTTCCCATTATCTGCCAGACTTTAAATGTAAACGCATATTTCTCTACTCACATTTAAGATCTCAAATAACTTTTTCTTTTTGGAAGGTTCTTCTACCCACAAAATAATCTGGCGGACATTGGGACAAGGCAGATTTTTTTCTCCAATGATAATTCTCACAGGATCATGTAGAAGCTGGCTTGCCAGACGTTCTATGCTTGCTGGAATTGTGGCAGAAACCAAAACAGTTTGACGATCGGGAGGAGTGTTTTCCAAAATGTCAAGGACTTGCTGTTGAAAGCCCATCTTTAACATGGTATCAGCCTAAAATGATATCATTATAAAGTTACAAAACACTACATTTATAAAAATAAAGTAGCTGACACTTCAACATTGTAAATATCAGTTTGAGCATCCATCATACAAAATAAAAACAAAACATTTCATTGTTCTTTAACTCTTCATTCAACTTTATCACGGCACTTAAATATTTTAAATGTTTGCCTGTGTTCTCTAGATGTAGCTTGCAAATGGTTGTATCTTAACATTATCATCTCATTCTATTTTTTTTAAGAGTGACACACATATGAAAAACTGTCTTAAGCCAAAATCTAAAACAAATATCACCTCTAAGCAGACATGTATACACACAGAGCACTGAGCCTAGCAGGAAGCATATTGAGTAAGAAAGCCAAAAGCCAAAATTCTATTCCTTACCCAATGACTACCATGGGACTTAGGGAAGGCATTCTATCTGAATTTCAGTTTCTTTTATGTAAATTTAAGTAATAATACTCCCTATCTATAGTTACAAAGAAAGAAAGTAGAAAAGATAATCCATTCCTGGGGGCAGCTAGGTGGTGCAGAGGATAGAGCACAGGCCCTGAAGTCAGGAGTACCTGAGTTCAAATCCAGCCTCAGACCAAACACTTGACACTTACTAGCTGTGTGACCCTGGGCAAGTCACTTAACCCCAAGTGCCAAAAAAAAAAAGAAAGAAAAGATAATCCATTCCCTTTAGAAGTAAAAGAGGCACGAGAGGTCAGATACTAAAACGGAAAGTTCTCTGGACAAGAAGTCAAGAACTGCTTTCTGGTCTTCCATCTGACTTACTAGTAGTGTATTCTTGGGCAAGTTACAACCTTTCCGAGTCTCGGTTTCTTCATCTTTAAGTAAAATGGGGATAATAATTCTGTTATACCTATCTCACAGGGTTGCTGGGAAGAAAATATTTTATAACAAAGATAATAGGTGACATTGATGTAGGATTTTAGTGCGTTCAAAGCACTTTACATATATTAACTCACTAATATACTATATAAATTCAAAGTATTATTAAAGATTATAACCTCATATACTTTAGTACAGCATTATCTTACTTAAAAGGGTGATGGCTATTAAATAGTTTAAATATACATTTTAATATAAATGTGAATTATTGTTCTTACCTTGAAAATAAAAGAGTCAAGAGTGAAGAAGACAACAGATTCAATGGACAAGAAAAAACAAGCTTAAGTCTCCCTAGGCTTAAAAACCCTATTGTCCCTTCACTGGCAAACTTCTTAAACAGACAGCACACTCCTGACTATTCCCATTTCATCACCCTTCATTCCACCCTTAATCCTCTGTTATCTGCTTCCAACATCAATATTTTGCCAAAATTACACTTTCAAATGTCAACAGTTTCAAAATATTATCCTTCTAGGAAAATCCAAAAATCTTTCCCCAGTCCTCATCCCTTGTCACCTGTCTGCAGCACTGACACTGTCCCTGTAACTCTGACTTCTGTGACACTACATAATCATAATTTTTCTTTCTTTGTCTCATTCACTGGATCCTTCTCAAATTCCTTGTGCATGCCAACCCTCCCAAACTCCAGGTTCAGTCACTGGCCCCTGCTTTTCTTTCATTTAAAAAAAAAAGGTTTTAATGGTGATTTCCATTTCTTCTTATACAACAGTCATTTTCTAATATGTCTCCAGGCCCACAGAACTCTCATCTTGCAACAAAGGACCTCTACTTTTCTTCATACATTCTCTCCCTCAGATAAATCATCCTATCTCATGGCTTCGATTATTACCTCAATCAATCAATCATTTATTAAGTACCTATTATGTGCCAGGAATCTACCAGATCCTTGGGGACATAAGTACAAAGAATAAAATTATCTCTAAATGAACTTATATTGTAATGGGGGAGACAAGGACGTAAAAAAATATACAGCATAAAAAAAAGTTAATCTGCATTATACACATATTTACACACACACACATACACACAATGTAGTTAAATACAGAACACTACAGCTATTTAAAAAGATGACATCACTGTTTTCCATCCCCTCCTTTCATACCTCATCAGTTGCTAAATCCTGTTGATTTGTCTTTCACAACGGCTCTCACATTTACCCCTTCCTCCAGATTTCTCCTTCCACTATCCTAGTTTTTGCACCCCCTCGTCACACCTGCAGCACTCCTACAACAGCCTCTGCTCGTCTTTCTGAAACTTAGTCCTACTCCTCTTCAATCCACCCTCTATACTGTTACAGACAAACCCATCTCCCTAAACAATACCTTGCTCAAATAGCTACAAGAACTTCTTACCACATCAAGTCCAAACTCTTCTGCCTAGTTTTTAAGGCCCACCGTAATGTGATTCCCCAATCCTATCTATCCAACCTTATTTCCCTCTAGTTCCCAAGACAAATCTTCAGCTTCTATCTTACAGAGCCCACAGCACACATGCTTTCTCCTGCCTCTGTCTTGCTCCTCCCTCACCTCTTTACTCATCTATACACTATGTTCAAGTCCCAAAGTCTAGTGAAACTCTCTAAGGACAAGCATATTAATTTCATCCTTCTTAACTTCTTTTAAATTTGTTGTCTATTCAAAAAAAAAAGACAAAAATGTAGCACAATTATGTCCTATTCACTAATATCCTCTATTGTACAATTTAGCATTATATTAGAGTATGTTTTAGAGAGCATGCTGTCCTGATCACTGATTGTATTCAATACGTTTATCTTCCTTCTCCAAATGGAGTATGAGCTTCCTGTGAGTCAGAACTGTCTCATCTGACCTTTATATACTGTAACACCTAACACAGTGCAGGGCATTTAGTAGGGACTCAATAAATACTGGAAGAATAAAAAGAACTCAAGTGAAGAGCACTGAGGATAAAAGATTTCAATTTTAATACAAAACCAATTTATCAGATTCATCATTTGAGAACAATTTGCAAACTTTCCTAACCAACCAATGTGGCTAATCCAAAGGTTGAGATCCCATATAATCTATATGCAGTATGATCTATAAAATTTTGCTGTAAAGTCAGCTTTGATGACTCGTTCTCTTAAGGCATTGCAAGACCAGCTAAGAGATAAGATCAACTTACTGTTAATCAAGGAGCATCTGTTTATCTATTTTTTTAATTTTTATTTTCAGTTCTGAATTCTCTCCCTCCCACTCACCCTCCTTCTCCCCCACCCACTGAGAAGGCAAGAAACATAATATCCATTACACATATGAAGTCATGCAAAACATATTTCCAAATTAGTCATGTTGAAAAAAAAGCAAGAAAAAGAAAGAAAGTAAAAGAAAAGCTGTTTCAATCTGCACTCGAAGTTTATCAGTTCTCTCTGGAGGTGGATGGCACTTTTCATCGTTGAGTCCTTTGGAAATGTCATGGATCACTGTATTGATCAGAGTTGCTAAGTCTTCTACTTTTGGTCACTGTTACAACATCACTGTTACTGTGTACAATGGTCTCCTGGTTCTGTTCACTTTACATCACCTCATATAAGTCTTCTCAGATTTTTCTGAACCCATGCCCTTCATCATTTCTTGTAACACAATAGTATTCAATCATCTGCATATACCACAACTTGTTCAGCCATTCCCCAATTGATGGGCATCCCTTTGGTTTCCAATTCTTTCCCATCACAAAAAGAGCTGCTATAAATATTTTTGTACTTAAAGGTCCTTTTCCTTTATCTTTGATCTCTTTGTGATATACACCTTGTATTTTCTAAGTCAAAGGACATGCACAGTTTTATAGCCCTTTGGGCATAGTTCTAAATTGTTCTCCAGAATGGTTGGACCACTTTGCGACAACACCAACAATGCATGTGTCCCTTTTTTCCACACCCCCCTCTAGCATTTGTCATTTTCCTTTTCTGTCACGTTAACCAACCTGATAGGCATGAGGTGATACCTCAAAGTTGTTTTAACTTACATTTCTTTAATCAACAGTGATTTAGAGAATTTTTCAAATGGCTATTGATAGGTTTGATTTCTTTTTTTGAAAGCAGCCTGTTCAGGAGCAGCTAGGTGGCGCAGTGGATAGAGCACTGGCCCTGAAGTCAGGAGGACCTGAGTTCAAATTCGACCTCAGACCAAACACTTGACACTTACCAGCTGTGTGACCCTGGGCAAGTCACTTAACCCCAATTGCCTAAAAAAAAACAAAACAAAAAAACGGGGTGCAGCTAGGTGGCACAGTAGATACAGCACCAGCCCTGAAGTCAGGAGGACCTGAGTTCAAATTCAGCCTCAGACCAAACACCTGACACTTACTAGCTGTATAACCCTTGGGCAAGTCACTTAATCCCAACTGCCTTAAAAAAAAAAGAAAAAGAAAACAGCCTGTTCATAGCCTTTGACGATTTATCAATTGGTGAACTGTTTGTATTTTTACAATTTTGCCTTAATTCTCTGTATATGAGAGCATTTCTTAAGAGACAGAGCATTGCCCTTCCCCAGGCACAGAGAAAAGAGACCTCCAGTTAGCATCCTGAATCAAAAGAGTACCCACCCTGTGTATGCACATGTATATGTTGGTTGTTTAGGGGGAAAGGTTACTGCCTTTTAAGTATAGGCAGCTTATCTTGGCTTTGCTGCTTTTTCAGACCAGAGGTTCTTCACATATTTTTGTGCCACGGATCCCTGGGAAGTCTGGCGAAGCCTATGAACCCTTTCTCAGAATCATATTTTTAAATGCATAAAAGAAGATGTATTAAACTGAAAAGGAAACCAAAGGTGAGTGAAAATAAAGATGTAATTTTTTTCCCATACAAATCGACAGATTTCCTAAATCCATCCACAGATCTGTTAGGGGTCCAAGGCTGGCAAGTTAAGAACTCCTGTATGTAGAGAGTCTTAGGTTTTCAAAATTAAAAGTTCCCTCAAATCACATACAATTTGGTATTTTAAAAAGTATATACATATGCTTTTAAGATACTTACTTCATCTATGACTACTATTTTTATACCACTGAGTTCCACAGAGTTCTGTTTCATTATTTCCAAAAGTCTCCCAGGAGTTGCTATTATAACCTTACAGAAAGAGAAGGGAAAAAAAATCAGACAACTATCTTTTTGGGTCAAGACTTGTGATGTCATATACACTGGGACAGTCCCTTCCGCCTTCTAACAAATTATACATGGCAAGTCAACAAAAGGCCTAAAAAATACAGTATTATTCTACCTTTCAAATACACTACAGAGTAATTCAATGTCAAAATCAGCACAGTAAGCAGATCCTGGGTGTGCCAAACACAAGGGCACAGTAGGCAGAGTAGGCACTTAATAAATGTTTACTGACTAACTGAAATTGCAGAGTTGGAAGACATTTCAGAGATTATCTATTCTAATCGCACACGGACAATAAATCCTTCTACCATGGCCATTCCTCTACACTTATTGGGATAGTCATCTAGTATTCATCTAGCCTCTACCTGAAGAACTCTGGGGATGAGGAACTCACTACACCCACTTTGGGACTGCTCTAATTCTTAGGAAGTTTTTCCTTCTATTGAGTGAAAATGGAGCCTCGCTACAACACACACTCTTACCTCCTAGTTCTGCCCTCTGAAGCTGAGAAGATCAAGTTTAATTCTTCTTTCACCTGACAACCCTTCAAATGCTTGAAGTCTGCTCTCATCACTCCCCAAACCCCTTCACCAAATCTCCTCTTCTTCAGGCTAAACATCCTCTGAGAGGCCAAAAAATCCCTTTGGTTTTTTTGGCGCTTTTGGGACACTTGTCAGAGGATGCTTCTGCTTTAGATGTACCCCTTCTACCCGTCCTTTTCTGAAAACTTCCATGCCATATATGTATACAGGTAAGGCCTTCCTAGCATCTTCCTCCCCAGGACCTAAGAGATAGGACATGACTTACATGCTCCTGAGAACCTTTCCTCTCCCTACATAAATCCATGGTGCCTCCCTGTATCATGAAACTACCCTAATGTAGAGGTAACAAGGATCTGTGAATCTTGCCCATCAACCAGAAGGGAGTGATTAGAGACTGGCAGATCCTGAGGGTGCCAAACAATAGTACCATTACTGACCTCTGGCCCCTCTTCCTCATCTTGCTCTGCAGAGCATTGTGAATGAGGTTTCAGCAACCTCCTTGCTTATGACTTTAATTACCTCCATCTCTGGGATGTCTCATGTTTGGCTTTAAGCCTCTCAAAATACATCATAATAAAGGCTTATTACATTAAGCATTACTAGTCTGTACTCTTATGAAAATATCCTTAAGTGCCCAAACTGCTGGAACTAACTAGGATATCGCTGGTTCCTTCAACTAACCTTTGTAAGGCATAATTTCCAGTCTTCTCAATGTTCTGGATGCCTTCCTCAAGACTCACTGCAATCTGTTAATGTCCTTAAAATGTGCCTAGAACTGAACAGAATACCACGGATCTGGTCTGATGTGATAGAGGGCAGTGGAGCTATAAACTCCCTTGTTCTGGATGCTATATTTTCATTCATGCAGTTTGTGTTTGCATTAGCTTTGGGGCTATCACATCATACTGTTGATTCATACCGAGCCTGTAACCCATTAAAACAAGCCTCTCTCAGTCCTCTACTGTCTAGTCAAATATCTTCACTTTCATCCCTGCTCAGTTGATTTTTTGCATCTAGGTGTCAAACTTTACATTTTTTCTCTATTAAATTTCACCTTATTAGGTTCAGTACATCGTTCTATCCTGTCTAGAGCTCTTCTGGATCTTGGTTCTGTCATCTGACATGTTAGTCAATCCATCCAGCTTCACATGATCATGCTCTTCTATGCCTTTACCCAAGTCATTGTTTGTTTGTTTGTTTGTTTGTTTGTTTTTTTGGGGTGAGGCAACGGGGGGTTAAGTGACTTGCCCAGAGTCACACAGCTAGTAAGTGTGATGTGTCTGAGACCAGATTTGAACTCAGGTCCTCCTGACTCCAGGGCCAGTGCTCTATCCACTGTGCCACCTAGCTGCCCCCATCCAAGTCATTGTGAAAAAAATGTTGACAGAACAGTCAAGGACAGCTCCCTTGGGCACTCCACTAGAGACTTCCCACCACAATGACATCAACTCATTAAACAATATTCTTTAGGTTGGCTCACATAACTAATTACAAGTCTATCTAACTCTATCATCAAGCCCATATCAGCACAGTGGAGAGAGTGCTGGGATTGAAGTCAGGATGATCCAAGTTCAAATATGGCCTTAGATACTTACTAGTTGTGTGACTCTAGGCAAACCTCTGTTTGCTTCAGTTTCCTCAACTGTCAAGAAGGGATAATAATAGCACCTACCTCCAGGTTGCTGTGAGGATCAAATGAGATAATAATCGTAAAGCACTTGGCATAGTACATAGGACATACAATTTCCATATAAATATTAGCTATTTTGACTACTATTACCTACCTACCTTGAAGGGTTGTTGTGAGAATCAAATGAGATAATGTTTGTAAAAAGGTTGTAAATAAGTTCGTAAAAATTTCCTTTATGAGATATTATTCTCTTTCATAAATTTTCCATCAAGTAAATATGCTTTTCCCTTAGCTCAGTGCCTAGCACATAGAAGATGCTATATAAAGTCTTATTCCTTTCTTCCCCTTCTTGCCTACAAAGAAATCACAAGAAACTTTGCCAAATGCCTTGTTAAAATATAGGAAGAATATATCAATGGAAGGTCCTTCATCTACCAGTCTAGTTACCTGTTCAAAAGGGAAATTAAGTTAGTCTTGACCCACTCTTCATGAACCCTCTTATTGATAACCACTTCCCTTTGCAAGTGCCCTTTCCTTCTTAACCATAGAATTAGCTGTTCTAATCTCCCTTAATATACTCCTTGGAAATGTTGCTTATTATTTTTACACAAGTATCTTACATTTGTTGGGAAGAAAATGTTCCATGGAAAATATATTTAGTGTTAAATGTATGCTTGGAAAGTCTATTTGAAACTAAATCCTACAATTTCCTCTGAATGTAAACTTTCCTTTCCTCTTTTGCTTGTAAAGTGCCATACTGGTTCTTACCTTAACATTCTGTTTCAGGCGATAGAGTTGGGGAGGTAAAGGCAAACCTCCAACAAGCAGGACTGTTCTCATGTTTGGCAGGCCACACATTAGCTCCTTAGCTTGTCTCTCTATCTGAATGGCCAATTCCCTGGTTGGAGTGAGAATAAGTGCTGATGGAGTTCCGTTCTAGAAATATAGGAAGGGGAAAAAAAAAGGACCATCAAGAATACCAACCATTAAATCTTTTTTATCCCTGGGAGGACTCTTCTTTCACCCTTACCCCTTAATGACTTTTCACCTTCTGAGGTCTGTGCAATCCATTTATACCATCTTCTCTCCTTTCTTGTTCTGTGATTCACCAACCTCTTCCTGCCAGCCCAACACTCTTTGCTTCATTCTCAGGCTATTTCTTATATATTCTCAAGCAAGCAATTCCTTCTCTTCTTGTGTTGTTGAACTCCTACTCATTCTTTAAGACCAGTCCCAAATGTTATCTCCTCCAAAAAAGCCTTCCCTTATCCTGTTGTTAGGATAGGATATGCCTTGCTTCTAAGATCTCATATAAAGTTTTGTTTTGTATGTGATATATATTATGGCTGCCATAGTGTCCTCTCCCCTACTAGACTATAAGCTTGATGAAAGCAGAAGCCATGCTTTATCTAAATTTCCTATCTCACCCAGCATCTAACACAGTGATCTGCAGGCATTTAATGTTTATTACTGTTGTTTTGGGAAGACGTACGCAATGTGAATAAACCATAATGCCAGTTATTGTTCACAAATGAATGGGCAGCTACCTGGTTTAATTTGAGTGGAGCTCAGATATTCTTCCTTTCACCACCAGTCATACTTTTATGATGTTCTCTATTCCTCCCAAGGCTCTAGGGGCATTTCTGGGTGGGAAAAAAAAAGGTCACAACTGCTCCTCAAAAGTGGAGAAAGAGAAAAATTTCATTCACAAATAAATCTGATTCATTTGTAGGACCTATTCATTTTTTGGATCATTCATCCAGCTACTGCATCCCTAAAACCCCAGGGGTGATTTTATTTTAGATTTTGCACTCATGCCCCTGAACTACAAAACTTCCTCAGTTTACTTATAGAAGACAGATAACTATGAAAAATTTATTGGCCACCGGAAGAGTGCTTGAACCTACAAATAAAATTATAGTGATACCAGTTAATAATAGTGTACTGTACTCAATGACCTTTTAAACTGGTACACATAAAACAGTTTTTTATTTTGTTTTTATATATTCTGTCCTATGGTCTGTGTTTCTATGTACACTCAATGCAGCCTCTAAAGCTAAGATGCAACAAAGTATAGATGGATTCTCTGCTGCTTGTGATGATTTTGGCCTAACAATCAACAGCAAGAAAACAGGTTCTCCACCATCCAGCACTACACCACCCACACGTGGAACCATCAGTTACAGCAAATTGAGAAATACTGAATACTGTGGATAAGTTCACTTACCTTGGCAGTATACTTTCCAGGGATGTACCCGTAGATGGTGGTGGACACACACATTGCTAGACCTAACTCAGTGTTTGGGAGGCTCCAAAGAAAAGATGAGGTATCAGACTGCCTATCAAAGTGAAGGTCTACATAGCCATTGTGCTGAACTCACTGTTATATGCCTTTGAAACCTAGACAGTATACCAGTGCCATGTCAGGAAACTGAATCTCTTGCACTCGAATTGTCTTAGGAAGATGCTGAAGATCATCTGGTTGGATAAGATATCAGACACTAAGGTCCTTCCTTGAGCTAAACTGCCAACCATTCAAATTTACTGCAGAAAGAGCAACTCCAATGGGCTGGCCATATTGTTTGACTAAAAGACTATTTTATAGAGAACTCACACAAGGCAAGTGCTCACACAGAGATCAGAAGAAGCGATACAAGGACACTCCCAAGGTCCCTCTGAAGAACTTTGGAATCAATTGTGAGACATGGGAGACACTGGCAAAGGACTGCAAAACAGCATGGTGTGCCTGCATCAAAGACGATGCTGTGCACTATGAGCAAAGCAGAACTGCTGTAGCTCAAGAGAAACCTGAATTGTGCAAATTTAGAAACATCTCCATTTCAAATGTTCATGTGGATTATTTGTACCTGACTTGTGGTAGAGCCTTCTGAGCTCATGTTGGCCTTATCAGCCACAGACATACTGCATCTTGACCCCAACACAATGTCATCTTGGTCCTGTTCAAGAATGAAGGACAACAACCAACAGACGGGCTTTCTTCCTTCTGAAATTATTTATCTATCTGCTTATTTATTTGGGGACTCCTTTCCACCTATGTTGGTTGTCCCATACATGTGCATATGCATTGATGTGTAGTATTCAGAATTTCATTTAAGTATATGGAGAAATATTATTAAAATACTAATTGGAATTCTGACAAGAAAATTTTCTTCATGAGATATTATTCTCTTTCACAAATTTTCCATCAAGTAAATATGTTCTTCCCTTAGATGAGTTTTTAAGTAAATAAGAAATACCTAGCTGACCATAATGAAGTCTTTGTTTCAACTTGGCATTTTATGTGTTTTGTTCTACGATGATTTTTGAAGGAGCTAATTGATCTTGACTACATTGGGTTTTTTCTTGTTCAGTCATTTCAGTTGTGTCCAACTCTTCATGACCAAATTTGGGGTTTTCTTGGCAGGGATACTGGAGCAGTTTGCCATTTCCTTCTCCAGCTCATTTTGCTGATGAGGAAACCAAGGCAAATTCGGTTAAGCGACTTGCCTAGGGTCACACATCTAGTAAATGACTCAAGCCAGATCTGAACTCGAAAGATGAGTCTTCCTGATTCCAGGCCTGGCGCTCTATGCACTGCACCTCCTACCTGCCCCAGCCTGGCACATAGTGTTTACTAAATGCGTACTGAATGAATTAATTCTGTTTTTTTTTTGTTAAGGTTTCTAATACTTTAAAAAAAAAAGGAAAAGAAAAAGGTCACTATCCAGTGGTTCTGTTCATGTCGTTGTAATGTGTAAGTACAGGATGTTAAGGGAAAGGGAGATCAGACTGTATATGTGAACTTTAACTTACTTTTTCCAAAGCTCTGATGATAACAGGAAGTAGGAAAGCTGCTGTTTTTCCTGAGCCTGTGTCAGCACTGCACACAATATCCCTTCCCAAAAGTCCAATCGGAATCATCTGCATCTGAATGGGAGTTGGAACTTCATAGCCTGACTTCTTCAAGTTGCAATTCAAGACTTCAGGAAAACCACAATGTTCAAAGTCTATGATAGGCCTTGGAACTTTTTGGCCCTGTACTGAAATTCCTAGCTGTAGCTTAAGGTTCTCAACCTGGTCATCCAGAAGGCTTAAAATAAAGGAGTGTTCTTTATAGGCATAAAAGGTATCTAGTAAGGGAGATTCAGCCTCAGAGCTGGCTTTTTGGAGCTTTACTTTTTCTTCCTTTTCCGTAACTTGTAAAAGATGTTTTGCCTTACATTCCAAGCTACAGACATCTGCATCAGTCTTATCACAAATATACTCTCCATAACGACCGCAGACAACACAGACAGGCTCCCCTGGTTCTGCCAAGCGCTGGGTTTTAGCAAAAGATTTTATTGGCTCTTCTGGAACACAGCTGTCTTCAACACTTTGCTCAGGCCCCTCTAAACAAACTGCAGCAAAGTGGTCATCTGAATCTGGCGATGAGCCTAATTCAGGGCTCTGCCCCGATGATGGGGCTGAGGTTTCCTTCCCCACGAAGGCAACATTTGGAATCTCTCTGTCTTCTTCTGATGACAGCTTTTCTCCTTGCGGTTTAAATTTCTTAGCCACACAACTCTTGTCATCATCAGAAACATTCCGTTTGACTTTGAGAGATCTTGGAATAAACATCCTTCAGTATGCTGTTGAGGAAAAGCTAAAATGAAATTTATCCCCTCCCTCCACCCCATTTCCAAATCATTCTTTACAAAAACAGCACTGGACTATTACCTCAAAGGCACTGGGCTTAGAGCCTGGAAGTCTTTTCTAATCCCTCCTAATTCTAGTGCCTGCTTTCCTTTAATTATTTCCAATTTATCTTGTATATTGCTTGTTTGTACACACTTGTTTACATGCTGTTTCCTCTTATTAAGTTTTGATCTCATTCAGGCCAGGGACTGTCTTTTGCCTTTCTTTGTACCCTAAGCTCTTAGCACAGAGCCTGGCACATAGTAGGAGCTTAATAAATGCTTAGTGACTAGAGGAATACAATGAAATACTGTATCAAAAAGTATTCAAGATCTTGCTTAGTGCCATTTTTTTATCCACAAAGTACAATCAATAACTACTTCTTGGTGGCTAATGGGTTAATTTCATTTAAAAAAAAGTCAAAAGCCATCTAACTTCTGGGATAATTCCAGTTTCATTTTCAAAGAGAACAGAAGGGACACTCTACCAGCTTATGGAGATGCAGCAGAAAACTGTTTTTGCCTAATACCACATTAACGGAAAGACAAAATGAGAGTGGGTAGGGGAAAAGATATAAACCTTTTATAAGATTATAAACCTTTTATGTTTGGATTTTTCTGTAATCATTCGCATTTACAAAAAAAAAAGAAGGGGGGCCTTGGCACGTGTTGTCTTTCAAACTTTTAAAAAAATTATTTCAATTAATTGTCAATTTCCATTTTGTAGTTCAGACCCCATTCTCCAAAACGAAGGCTGTAATTCCTCGGAGCTGCCAGATTGCCAGAGTCCTGGGGGAGGCCCAGACAACGCCCCCTCCCCTCCCCTTCCCAGGCCCTCTTCAAGTAACCCGCACTTCGAGACCAGCCCAAGCAGGCAGAGGGGGGCGGGGCACTCAGCCCCACCCCGCCCTCCCACCGCGCAGCCGCAGCAGCAGGGTAGACCGCCCTGTAATCTCCTCCCTTCCCCCCACCCTCCCCACAACTCGTCTCGCAGCTTTACGTCAGCGGCATTGCTAGGATACGGGGGCAGGGAAGCAAGGGCGTCCACAAGAGGTGCCGCAAGAGTAGGAAAGCGACTTCTTCTCTCCTCGTTTTCCTCCGCTTCTCTTCCTCCATTGGGAGGGAGGAGAGAACAGGAAGGAAGAGAAGTCGTTCCTCCTCCTGCTCTTGGAGCGGCTCCGCGTTCAGGGCAATCTCACCCTCTGAGGTCCTCGGGCGCGTCCGCTCCTTCGTGGGAAACCCGGCTTCACCCCCGCTCCGGACTTGCGCTCCGGACTTTTGTCCCGGCCTACGACGTGCAGCGAGCCGCGCCTGACCCCTGGGGCTGCCCTGCGCACGCGCACACGCCGGCGGGCGTTCCCTCCCCCCGGGATGCGTGCGACCTGGGGAGGCCGGGGGACCGCGAGAGAGGTCCCCCAGTGGGAGGAGGGGACTCGGGGAAGGCTAAGGCGTTTGGCTTGGAAAAAAGGGAAGAGCCGCCAACATCACGGGGAAGACCCGGAGCAAGCTAGCATTTCCGGGGGCGGAGCATGCCCGGAGATGGACGCATCCCGAGCTGGGGAGGGCGTGCAAGAGGGAGTGGGTTCAGCTCCAGCCTCCTGGCTCAGGCCTGAGAGCCCAGGCTAAAGCTTTGCGCTCCTGCCAGGCTAAGACTGTGGGGCATTAGGGAGGCAAGTCAACAAGCATTTATTAAGCGTTTACTGCTTGCCAGGCTCTGTGCTAAGCGCTGGAGATACAAATACAAACGAAAAAAAAAGACCCTGCCCTCAAATAACTTTCATTGTAATAGACACATAAAAGGACAACGAAGAGGCGTGGGGTGCCTAACCCAGGGCGTGGTAGAGAATGTCTTGGAGAGAGGGAATGAAGGTATGGTTGGCCTGGGCATCGTCCTGAAAATGGAAGTCTAGCAGGAACCTAGCAAAAAGAGGGCGAGTTCAAATGGTGAAGGTACTTCCATTGTGTGAAATCTAGGGGTGAGATGAGCTCACATAGTAAAGCCATTTTTGTGATATGGTACTACTCCTATCGTACGGGTAGGAGAGAACCTTTTTAGGAGTTGGAGAATCTGGTTTGGATTTTGGCTGTGCAATTTGCTATCTGTTAGTATCTTTGTCCAATGTCAGCCTCAGTTCTTCTTTTGTAAAAATAAAGGGGGTGGGCAGATAACTTCTGAGGCCCCTTCCGACTCTGAATCTTTAATCCTATGATTCCAAGCCTGCGCAGTGCGAGGTGTCAACAGAAAACCAAAGTGAAGATTGAACGGGGAATCCTAAAACCGACAAACCCAGCACTTAGCGTTCCCTCCTGTTGTCAGTTCCAATCCAATGAAGACCTTGCATGTCTTAGTGGAATGGTATTTTCAGCACTGGCTCTGGACTCAGAGGATTTAGGTTCAAATTCTGTCTCTGACACTTAAAACCTATGTACACATGTTTGTGAGTATACCCTTTGTTTTGGACTTTATGACCTCTGAGGTCCTTTGAAATTCTAGATCTATGATCCTCCAAGGACCAGAAGTTTATAATAAGCGTATACTTTGGTTAGGTTCCAGACCACAGCGATAAAGCCAGTCACTTGGAAGTTTTTGATTTCCCAGTGCATATAAAAATTACGTATACACTATACTGTGGTCTATTAAGTGTGCAATAGTATTACGTCTAAAAATAACAACGTACAGGCCTTAATTTAAAAATACTTTATTGCTTAAAAAATGCTAACCATCATCAGAACCTTCAGCAAAATCGTTATCTTTTTGCTGGTGGAGTGTCTTAACCTCAAAGCTGGTGGCTGCTGATCAGGGTGGTGGTTGTTAAAGGCTGGGATGGCCGGAGCAGTTTCTTAAAATAACACAGCAATGAAGTTTGCCTCATCCATTGACTCTTCCTTTCATGTAAGATTTCTCTGTAGCATGCAGTGTCGTGTGATAGCATTTTACCCACAGTAGAACTTAATTCAAAATTCTTACAAACCCTGCTGCTGCTTTATCAACTAAGTTTAAGTAATATGCTTCAGTATTGTTGCATCTCGGGTAATAGGGAGACCCAGGGGAGAGAGACTGGAACAGCTGGTCAATGGAGCTGTCAGAACACAACTCAACATTTATCAATTAAGCTTGTTGTCCAAAACCATTACAGAGGTAACATCGAAGATCACAGATCACCATGACAAACATAATGAAAAAGTTTGAAATATTTCGAGAATTACCAAAATGTGGCACAGAGACATGATGTGAGTGCATGCTATTGGGAAAAATGATGTGGATAGGCTTGCTGGATGCAGGGTTGTCACAAACCTTCAATTTGTTTTAAAAAAAAAATTTAGTGTGAAGCCCAGCAAAGCAAAGTGCAATAAAATGAGGTATGCGTGTGTATGTGTGTATATATGTATATATGTATATAAATATAAATGTAAGCATGTATGTGGGTATAGACAGGCACACATACCTATATGCTTATTGGTAATATATAAGCATGTGTATGCTTATTATTGGATATGTTACCAGTCTTCCAGGTGACTATTTGACTTGGTGATGTCAGCTCCCATGTATTAAATTCTAATGATTCTCGATGATACTTAGCTAGCCCTAACCCCTCTCCTAACCTTCAGATATGCATTTCTTAACTGCCCAGTGGATATCTTGAATTGTCTCATAGACAGTGTAAAACTCAAAGAACTGAACTCGTTAGCTTTACCTACAAACCCTGTCTTTCTAATTTTCCTCTTGAGGTCAGGACCACCCTCTTAGTCATCCAGGCTCAAACCTAAGTACCATCCTCAATTCCCCTCATTCTCTCCCCCCATATCCAGTCTATTCCTAAGTTCTGTCAATTTTACCTTCTCATCATGCCTCTCCTTTGATATTACTGAAGTAATTTTGTTTGTTTGCTTGTTTGTTTTTGGTTGGTTTCTGTTTCAAGTCTGTCCCTGTTCTAGGCTATCTTCCACTCAGCTGCCAAACTGGTATTAGTAAAGCCTAGATCTGACCATTTCACTTCCCCTATTCAATAAACTCCAGTGACTCCCAATCATTTCCAGCATCTAATATAAAATCCTCAGTTTGGTGTTTAAATCTCTTTATAACCAGACTGGGGTAGCTAGGTGGTGCCGGGGATCAAAGCAAACAGAGGTTAAGTGACTTGCCCCAGGGTCACATAGTGATTGTGTGAGGCTGGATTTGAACTCAGGTCTTCCTGACTGTATCCACCACACCTCCTAGCTTCCTCCTGCCCCCCCCCCACAGTAGGAGCTTAATAGAGGCTTATTAACAGACTGACTGTGACCTTGGGCAAGCCACTTAATCTCTGTGGGTCTCAGTTTACTCATCTGTAAAATGGATTTGGACTATATGGCCTATGAGTTCCCAAGAACTGGAAGACAGGCTTAACCAAGGCCAGGAAAGACTCAGCACCAGAACATAAGTAATAAGCATCTAGGTATGGAAGACCAGCTATTATGAGATTGCTGCTACCTTATTTTAATAAAGTAATGGCTCAAGGATCTTTTCAATGTTGAGATTATAAGAGCTCAAAAGTTATACCACTCTTTCCTTTTTTATACATTCCTGTACTCTCTGCCTTCCTTCCATCCTCCATTCCCTGTACAATATAGTTACACAAATACCGGACTCTTTTGAAGCCTAGCAGGGCTAATACAACTATTTTTGTTCTAGAGGCTACAGGGTTGTACAGTGGATAGAACACTGAACGTGGAGTTCACAAGACCTGAGTTCCAGTTTGGCCTTGGGTACTAGCTATGTGACCCTGGGCAAGCAACTTTAACTTCTATTTGCCAGAGTTTTCTCATCTATAAAGGGGAGATAATACTTGCCTTTCAAGGTTGTGAGGATAAAATGAGGTAGTATTTGTAAAGTGCTTTTCAAACCTTAAAATGCTACTGTGAAGTTTGGATTTGGTCAAAGGGCCGCAGTTGAGGACCTAGAGGGCCACATGTGGCCTCATCCCTGCACTATATAAATGCTAGCTTGTATTGTTCTTAGGATACAGCTTATTGTGAGTGATAGAGACAAAAGGACTTGAGTTTACTCTTGAGAAATGTCGTCAGATGTCCTTGAATCTTATAAACTGCCATTTTTCTTAAGTTACAAGACATTTTCTAACTTCACAAGAGATATATACTGTAGCTTTGGAGGGGCATGTGTGAATGATGGATGTTTGAAAGTAAAGTGGATTTTATGATATAAGTAGACAATGGGATTCTCAGCTTGAGATTAACAAAGATTTAGGTACAGGAGAAGGTGGATCAACTCTCTCAGTATGTCCCTGTAAATATCTAGAGCAAAGTTCTTAACCTGCAGTCCACAGATCCCAGGATAGATTTCAGGGGACAGCCTCTGACCGTAGATGGGAAAAAAAAAAGGTTTTATTTTAATATGTTGAGTTTCCTCTGCAATTCCATGTATTTTGTTTTACTCATTTAATAACAGTATTCTGAGGAGTCCATAGGTCTCATCAGGTGACCAACAGGGTCCATGACACAAAAAGATTAGGAACCCCTGATCTCGATATCAAGGCAGCTGGGGTATGCCCTCAATTGGTGTTGGCATCCCAATATCCCCATGTATCTGCATAGTCTTGGGCAGAGCTTTCCCCTAATCTGGCCTCAAGGCACTCATCTATAAAATGAGGCAGTTGGATGATTTCTGAGGTCTCTTCTTAGCTCTAAATCCCATGATTCCTATTAAATTGTTTATTAGATTTAGATAATTATTTCTTCACTGAGTTCAATTTGCTGTGCATACAACTCTAAATATGTTAATACTTCATTATAAAATTAGCAAGCTCAGGAAAATAATGGGGAAAATTAAAGCAAATAAAACATTTGTCAAAAGAGGGATGGGAAAAGAGAGAGGCTCATTGCAACCACAGGTCAATGACAAATTCACACCATGGGGGAATGAAGGGTCAGGTTAATTATAAGGCAATGCTATAATGGTTTCCAAGCTTATGGGAGAAGAACATGTCTGCTACAACCTCTGGTAGCTGTAGTCTAGGACAAACAAGAAAGGAAAATGGGCATGTTGTTTCTTTATAAGTTTAACCATTATGACTGTACTTGGGAAAATGTCATGATATTTAAAGGGTAAATCACTGACTTGTTCATTATTTGGTTGGTTTACAAATCTCAAGATTCTACCTGTGCTTAGGGCAATAAGACTGTGGAGTTGCATGTTAAAAAGAGAAAGAGTTGCTAAAAAGTAGAGGTAGGGAGGGGAATGAATTCCAGGCATAAGGCACAGAACAGCCAGTCACTCAACAAGCATTTATTAAACACCAGGCATTGTACTACCTGATAAGCATAAAAAAAAAGTGTGAAAACACTTGTCAGGAAGCTCACATTCTAATGGGACTGTTGACATGCAAAATTGTGTACATCTAAAATATACATGGTATAAATGGAAGATAATGGAGGTGAGGGGGGATACTGAGAAAGATACCTTGCAGAAGGTAGGATGTGAATTCAGTCTTGAAACCAGCAGACAGAGGTGTAGGGGAAAATTCCAGGCATGGATACAGCCAATGAAAAGGCAAGGTTAGGTGGTGGAATGTTGTATGTGAGCAATAGAAAGAAGGCCTCAAGGATGCTGGTTTTTAAAGTAAGTGGGAGGGGAATAAAGTATAAGAACACTGGCAGGATAGAAAAGAGCCAAGTAGGGAAGGGCTTTAAAAATCAAATAGAATTTTATATTTCATCTTGAATGTAATAGGAAGCCCATGGAATTTATTGAGTAAGGGGCTGACATGGTCAAACCAGTGCTTTAGGAAAATCTCTTTTACAGCTGAATAGAGAATTTTTGAAATGAGGAGAGATGAATCGTGGAGACCAACCAGAGCACTAGAGTATCATGTTTGAGGATGACGGCATGGAAGGGAGAATGTTATCTGATGACGCTAGAAAAATAGCTTATATTTTGTCTTAGAGGCAATAGGAAGCCACTGGAATTGGTTGAAAAGTGGAGTCATGTGGTCAGCTCTACACATAAGGAAAATGGGGAAGAAGAACAGAAAGGGGACACCACTCAGGACACCAATTAAGATACTGTTGCCACAATCAAGGAGAGAGGTGAGGCCTTAAAAGTGGTAGCGATGTGAGTGAAGAGAAAGGATCTGATGCAAAGGATACTCTAAAGGTAAAAATGAAAAGATTTGGCCACGGATTGGAGAGATGAGGTAAGGAAGAGTAGGGAGTCCAGGATAATGCTAGGATTAGAAACCTAAGACATTGGAAAGATGGTAGTGCCTTCAACAGAAATAGGGGAGTTTGAGGGGTCTGGGAGGA